CTCGGAAGCTTGCACGGCCTTTCACCCTTGTATTGAGGATGGACTACTGCCAAAAAAAAACATATACCACAATACCGCATGGAAACTGTGAAGTAATACTTGCACGCATAAACACTCACAGAGCATTGGATATGCACTCATTAGTGCATCTGAGAAACCACAGCCATGTATGAGGTCCACCACAGTTTTTACCACCACGCAGTATGCAAATTCCTGTAAGCCCTTTAAAACGCATGTGCCTGGACAGAACATCAATGTAAACTAAATGTACTTGTGGTGACATTATACGTCCTGTAGTCATGGCAATATCTTTCACAGCAGTGCCTTCTATAATGTGTACATTAAAGGAATATACGAGAAGCTCTATCGACAGCATCTGTGGCAAATCATTTCCCATAAACATTCATGTTAAGTGCATTTCTGTCAGTACATTTTTTGTTTTGTTTGTTTTCACAATTTGGGAATAGGTCAGTGGAATTTAACTTTAATGTCTTAACTTTAACATTAACCCATAAGATTTGTTCAAAACTGGCTCATGAAAATGTAAATTTTCTCTCACTATGAAAAATTCATATCCAGAATTGGAACAAAAGTCTATTTTGCTGGTCTGAAACTTAAACCGTGTCACAACAAACACAGTTTGTTCACACAGACATAAAAACTTATCAATAAGTAACCATATTCAGTATAAGGAAGTATTCAGTATTCAGTATACAAAACCATATTCAGTAATTGCCCCTGGAATTAATGTATTTTATTTATTTATTTATTTATGAAAATATGAAGATTTATCTCAAATTCATCTTACATTTAATCTTAAAATTAAATAAAATTTTATCTTCAATTTAACTAAATCTATGAACATCTATAAATCAAATACAAAAAACATAAAATACAAAAGTAGCTGTAAATAATGCACAAGATAAAATGGCACACAAAAAAAATACAATACTTTTTTGTCCTTGTGTTAGGTTATACAGCTTTATACCGTCTTTTTTAAATTTTTGGAAGTGTTTTATACACATTTCCATGAAAAAAAAAAACTTTTCTTATTAGCAAAACAATCAACAATATTTGCCATTATGACAGCGAATAATCACTACAGTGTCTGCATCAAACTAAACTAGAAAGGCCTAGAACAATAAAAATGAAACAATGAAAATGAACAAGTGAAATGCATAAACTGTTAAAAACATTAAAGCAGGAATTCACCATGCGGGGCATTTGTGGCCATTTTTAATAGCCTATCTAAGGTATTTAGTTACTTTTTGTGACATTTTTGGACACTGATTCCAACCCACAGCGTTAAATGTAAAAACAAAATCTTACAAACTGAACCCTTCAGATGCAACTTTACAGCTGAGGTGCAGAAATAACCAGCAGCAGTTCAGTTCCAACAATGGCACATGGGCAGATCTTACCAGAGTCTCAGAGCTGAGAGGAGGACATGAGTGAAAACCATTCACTTTGGTCCAGCACATCTCTTGAAGACAAGAGCCTGAAGAGCCATTTCTGTCACACTTGCTTGCTCCTGGAGGGGTCAGACACTGAACAGCGATGGGCCACTCTAATGACCTCCTTTACGGCCTCTCTCACAGACGAGAGTCTTTCATTATCATGCAAACAGACGCACCACTTAGTCCCTCTCTGATAAACAAAAACCACTGCAACTCAATTAGCCGATATTAGCAATGCCAATGTGCTGCCTTCTGCCAGTACGGATAAATAAAAACGTATTATTGCTTGTGTTTGAAATAGTGCTTGCAATGTGCTTAAAGGGTTAGTTCACCCAAAAATTCACCTGACCTTCCATTTCCAGTGTGCGAAATTAACGGGAAGTAATAACAACTGG